ATTTAATGGAATCTTTAATATTATCTTAATATCAAATAGGAGGTCAGTTTCTCCACTTTGCAATACTAAATTGCAATATCAATCATATAAACATCCACTCCATCTTCATTATTTGTATATATCTACTTTGTATCAAGTCAAAGACTCGACAATACCTTTTGATCTCATATAAAGTGAGTTTCTATCCCTTGAATCCACTATCCACACAAGATAAGATCCAATATGTATAGTGTTGACACATAAACAACACTAAGAGGAATATATTCAAGTGCACTATCTTTTAGCTTAACCACTTTCGAGCTAAGAGATTCAAATCGTATACTTGAAGCACTTGAACCTTTATAACATTGATCCTCTACCAAAACCACTTTCATTCACTTACTATCTGATAGTTCTTCTTGGTCCCTTTACCAGTCTCTCACATCCATTCCGCATTTGTTCTAGCTCATTCAATGCTTAAGATTCAAACTCTTATGCAAGCTAGAATATTGCTACACAAGCATGTCCTCGAGACTTAGTAACATCAAGTCACACGTCTTTTAATTTACATAGCGGGTAGTGTCAATAAAAAATTGACACTTCAATTTGTAAGTCACAATAACTTTCAAAATTCCATATATTGAGAAGAGACTAATTTGAACTTACTACTCATCTAAAATTAATGTGACCAACGAAAATGTTAACACTATGCTAACCAACAATTAAATCACATTCGAGAAAAAAAGATCATTTATAATAGAACTTAACAATTTAAATGCTCGAGTACTAAAATCCACATTTTTTTCGTACTTAACAAAGTTCCGATCTTTATTCTCTAGAGTAGTATGACCTACATAAGGTCTTATATTGCATGGTTGATGCCGTCTAAAGTATCAGTCCTTTTAGCATACTTAAAATCTTATCATGCCAAATGTTATCGCATTTAACTTATCACCTTTATTAAGGTTAACTACTATAGATTTTGATGCCATAATCTATCAGATTTTTAGAGACATTTTATTCTCAATCAATGCCCATTTATGCATATATTTAATTTTGCATTAACGCAAATTAATGTCTATGATAGTTCAACGTTAGGCACAGAGTCGAAAGTTCACTATGTTCCCAATCATCATCCGCAATCCTGTCGTTTTACTATCATAAACTTAATTTCATAACGCAAAATTTCATGGGTTATAAGTGAGAATCACATTAATTCTTCCAACTTCAAAACTCCCACTCAATTGACGAATCAAATAGTTCTTGGTGAGATTTTCTCTAAATTTTCCGATAATCGAACTATCACTCAACTAACAATCAACATGTCTAAGTAAGAATCTCACTAATTCTACTGACCTTAGTATTTATAACAATACATGAGTCAATGGATATAATGTATTTCCATAAATATGTACATTTATCCAATAATATAATTTCATAATGTACAATTATGACATATATCATGATTGTCAACTACGTTTTAATATCTGTTACAACACAATCCCAACGAATGGGAAGTGACATCAGGATTTTCATATTCTGCTTATCACAAAAAATATTCACGTATTCCACTAGATTATGTTTCAGATCCATGTATTTTTTAATTATAGTAAGCACATAGTTTTTTAACAAGTTCTATAACCCTTGTTTCTCTAGCATTCTCTCTAAGGATGCTATAAATGTGCATAGATGTAATAATATATATACAAAATTCAAAACAAGTCACAATGGATCACATAATCTAATCAAGACCCACACAACTCATGAACGTATATAAAATGTGGTATTTTAAATACATTCGGAGTATTTTTATTTAAAAAAAATGAAACACTTAAAAAAAAAAAACTCCCACTGGGCAAATACTACATAACAAATATTCTTGACCTTTATGAAAAATTTTCAGAATTTAATTGAGTCCAAAAAAAATATTTCTGATCATCTGAAAATTAATTTTAATTGAACACAAAAATCAAGAATATTTGAAAGACCAATTTTGTAATTTTCAAAATTGAAGTCAGGTCTCGCATGCATCCTCATATGCATGACTAATTTATAATCTTTTAAATTGAATATCAAATAATTAATTTTCGAAAGAAAATAATTTTGGGACCAACATACAACTTTTCAAATTGGTATTGGAATAAAAAACATTCAAAAATAGTTTTGGGACCAACATGCAATTTTTGAAATTGCATTTGAAAACATTCAAAAGTGTGGGATTGACATGCAATTTCTCAAATTGCATTTGGAATATTCAACATTCAAAAAGTGTGGGACCAACATGAAATTTCTCAAATTGCATCTACAATAATTGAGGGACCAATATACTATTTCTAAAATTTGAATCCCACTCCAAGGCAACATATTTTTATTTATTTATTTATCTATTGTTACTGTTCATCATCTTAAAAAAAATGGCAGTTTTCTCAGATTTTTCTCAAAACTTTGAAAGACTATAACTTCTTCAATTTAAGTCAAAAATTTATACTCTTTATACCGTTGGAAAGATCTCAAGAAGATCTATCTAACCATATTAAATGAGAATCATAAAACACAACGTGGAAGAAGTTATCATCTGATAAATTTTCAGATTTTATCGATTTTTTAGGCAAAAATCAAATTTACATATAGACTTCGGGAGATCATAACTTCTTCATTCCAAGCCCAAACTTTATGTTCTTTATACCATTGGAAAGGTATTGAGAAGATATATCCAACCATACCAAATGGACAGTATGAAACTTAATGTATAAAAAGTTATCACGTGATAAAGTTTTGAATTTTATCAAGTTCCATGGAAAAAATTCAGATTATTGTCCGAATTTCAAAACCTCATAACTTCTTCGTTTCAAGTCCAAAATTTGAGTTCTTTATATGGTTGGAAAGCTTATGAGAAGACCTTTATAACCATACTAATCTTACTGCATGAAGATGGATGAATATATGGCAGTAAATATTATCAAATGATGCCAATAAATATCACATAAGGTTTCAAAAATTTGCATACAAGATTCATAACCCAATTCTATCATGTAATGGCATAATTAAGCATGAATTGTAGCAAGAAATTCAACCTTATGGCTCTGATACCAATGTAGGAAAAATCGTAGCATATTTTGACATGAATTTCGGGTCAACAAACTTACTTGAAATGATGAATTTCATGATCCTTGTGTGGTTGAATTATCTTGCCTTCAAATCTCTAAAATTTGCATTTTCTTGTACTCCATTGGTCCAAATCCCGATCACAATGGAAGAGGATTATTATCCACAATCTAAGTGTCATTTCTTGTGAGATTTCATGCCAAAAATGTGGTTCTAGGGGCTTTTCAATTTTGGTGTGATTTTACACACGAATTTTCACCATATTTTTCATACCACCTTCTTGTTCCTTTTTCCACAACTTCTATATGGAAGTTTCAAGTGATTAATTGGGATTTATAGGTTTGAATTTAGAATTTAAACCACTCCCTCCAACCCTTTTAAAAATTTGTGGGTCGGGTCACCCCACATGGACGACCAATTATCCGTATTTTCCAACAAGAAGAAATAAAAAGACAAAAACGGGAATATATATTCGGGGAGGGATATTCGGTTTTATCGAAGACTCTACCCAGCTCTAGCGACCATGGAACGAGGCTTTCACTCTCCGCCTCAACCGCACCATCGTAATCAAAATCTTCACCACAAAGGAAATAGATGGAAGAAGTCAGGGTTCATGAACCAAAAGCGACAATATCAGTCCTTACTGAGGCTTTTCTTTTGTTTAAATAAGCAGCTACATTAAATGGCTCTTGTGAACAGTAGAATGCACTAAAGGCGTCTTTGAGATTAACAATGTAGAACCAATTTAGCTACAATGGATAACCACTAAAATGTGAAAATTCTCCCTCCAGAAGAACAGTGATCTGGGCCCTTTAGAGGGGATTCTAGTCAGATAGAAGTTGTCCAAACATGGCTTATAATTGAACAGTGAATTGTGAGGAGAAAACACAAACGAACAGTAATGTGTAATTCTCTCTTTTAAAGTAAAGGGGAAAATAAATATATTTTAAACTTGTAATTAAACAACGTTTAAAAAAGCATCAAGAGACTAATGATAAATGTTAGATTTGAAAATTACATGGTGGAGAGATACTCATAGGTATTTGCTATATGTACTGTTTAGTGTACAGCCCCCCACATGAGGGGGGCGCATCAAATAAAAAAATAGCTATCCCCTCTTGTGAAGGGCTGTCAAGCCCGAACTGTAAAAACATCAAATCTCATTTTTCATATTAGCTCATTAATTGGATTGGATCGATTAAATCAATGAACATCTTCTTGATTTGGACTTGGTCCACTAAATCCATCTTGCCCATTTCAACCTCTTTTTATATGAGATGATTCCAAGTCAAATGGCTTTTCAACCTTTCTTCTTGCACTTATTAATTAGATCGTCAAAGTGCAAACGGTCATCGTATTTTTATTGTGACGGTGACCTTTGTGCTATAATAGTGTGTTGTAATGTACATACTATGTCTAAGGAGACGGAAATGTGATCAGTATTCTATTTCGACAAATGCAAAAACAACGAGTGGAATTCATGTCGTGGACTTTTGTAAATATCAAACTAGAGTTTATAAAGCCTTTACGCAGTGTGACCATGAATTGCTCAGCCATGAAGGTTACACATGTTGAACTTGACTCTATACTTTGTACGAGTTGAATTATATAAATATTATAAATTTTTATTTAAAGATACTGACATAATAATAAATTCAGATAGACTATAGAGAAATAATATACTGAGTCGAAATCGATCATGCCCTTCAAAAAATTCCAACCAACTTATGTTGATAGATCGAACTGAATTGGACCGCGTCAGCGTAGTTCTACCACTAGGCACTAGCTACTTGAAAATAAAAAACCTCTCACCTTGAATTTGTCATTGTTGACTTTTTCAAACCATTTCTCCAAAGTAAAAGTCAAATGATTCCAAGTAAAAGGACGAATCAACTCACAACCCATATTGACCGAATCCACGGCCCTAATACACATATAATATACACACTCATTTTGGGGGAATATTTGGGGAAAGCAAAAGAGAGTTTTAGGAGTTTCAGAAGGAATCGAAGCCATGGCAGAAGCATCGCTCAGTGGTGGCATCAAAGAAGCACCGAAGATAGTGTGGAACGAGAAGGATAAGAAATTCGAGACAGAGGACAAGAAAGCTTATCTGGAGTACGAGGTTAGGGGTGGGGGCAAAGTTATGGACATAATTCATACATATGTTCCATCGAGCAAGAGAGGTTTAGGACTCGCTTCTCACCTCTGTGTCGCTGCACTGACTCATGCTCAGACACACTCCATGTCGATTATTCCTACTTGCTCTTATGTCTCTGTAAGTTTCCTTTTCGAAAGGATTATTTTTTAGGTTTTTAGAATTTTTTTGATGGAATTTCAATAGGGATCGAGCAAGTAATGGAGAAATACGATTGATCTAGCCTACCCGTAATTTATCAGTAATGCTTTAGAACAGTTATTGATTGATGAAGAACTCACATGGGATGAATTTAGTTGAAAATAAACCACGGCGGTATGAATTTCAGAAATAATTATTTCAAGACAGTTAAGAATATTTGGGTGGATTATGAATTTGAGAATAATTATTAACATAAACTATGTAAACTTAAGAACTCGTGATGTTTATTTCAAAACAATGACTTGTTCCTATAGTAATGCTTCCTTTTGACTTATTTAGAGGGTGTTTGGAAGAGATTTTGAGAATTGATTTTTTGTTCGTTAAAAGAAAAAGTGGGTTCATTTTGGAGAGAAGAAGTCAAGTATGACAACTAAAATAGTAAAATATCGGTCAAAAAATTAATTTTTTTGTGGAAAAAAATCACTTCCAAATGGACTCTTAGATTTTTTTTTGCATTTATTGATTTATGTTGGATATCGAGGATTTTTTCTCTTTGTTTTTATGAACTTAATTTATATGAGATTTTATGTGTACATTGTTGAACTCACCACCCGATACAATTTCGTTTGGCAGGACACTTTTCTTCCTCGAAACCCATCTTGGAATTCGATTGTGTACACGGACGATGTCAAGTCTAATATGTGATGTCTGATTAAGAAAGCTGGTCATTGAGTTATATTTGTGTTTCTTCACAGAACGTTTTCTCGTATTTGTGTTTTATGTAATTGTATCTCTTAACGATGGCATTATGTTACCTATCTTCAATTAAACTACTTGGATTAGAGATTGATCTTCTTGGTTTGATAATTATTTTATCATTCTTTTATAAAGAACAAATGTATTATGTTCGAAAAATCGACACCCTGGTCATAGTACTGAATGGTATCAAAGAAAGAAAAAGAAGCATCGAGTCATTTTAAGTCAAATTTAACAATTAATTTTAATCACGTACTTCATTGAATTCAAATTTTTTATCAACTTTAATAATATATTTTGTTAACTTTTATCGAAATATATTAAAATTATATTTTTTAGCAGAATGAAACTAAACCTAAATCAAACTTTATTCCTATCTAGATCTTCTAATGGATCCTAATCATGCATAGAATGAAAGCAAAAATTGGCTCTAGAGTGGCTAATATATCGCGATTTAAAGTTTAAACTAACCATTTCGATTAAAATCTTCCTTAGTCTATAATTTTGAAATGTCAAAGGCTTGCACGTTATTTTTCAAAAGTTAAAGGGCGTGTCATGCAACTTAGCATTCATGGTCAATCAAAGAAAAACTTCTCCGGTTTCATCCACTCTAATTACTTCCAGTGCCCAAAAAATTCTCATGCAAAAAATCATCAATATAGTTCCCTTCACACGACTTTAGATTAAAAACAACTGGTCACTGTAAATAATTGCAAAAACTTCACAGTGGAGGAGCCACTCTGGATTCTTTGACGCTTCGAGACTCTAATTGCGCTAACTGTCGCTAATTTTACGGCAAATGGCGTCATGATATTAATCAGTCATACAACCGCCGCTCCCTTCTTCCCCACTTCCACCACCTCCGCCGCCGCCGCCGCTCCTCGGTATCCTCCATCCTTCTGCAGCCTCTAATTGCCGCGGTCTAGAGCTGTATACAGTGATGGAGACTTCAAATGGGCATTTGATTAATCATCAGAATTCCTGCTCATTTGCTTCTTCCCGGAGAGACGTCACTTACAGGTCATAAATAAACTGAATTCACAGATGTATTTGTTAGTGTTTGTGATCGTGTGAGAGTGAGAGTGAATGCGAACATATTGGATTTTGATTTCTTACTGAAATTTGTTCAAATTGATTTGATTAATGCATGGAAAATTGCTATCGCGTACTTCGAATTTGTGAACTGTGATCATCTTTTGTTAATTAAATAAAAGGATTATGCTTCTCGAGGCACATTTAGATCTTTGTTTTGTTCTTCTGCTAAATGTTTACAATATAAGTTGATCCGTTTGAGCCATAGAAGAAGAGATTAATCAATTTTTCACATTTTTGGGAGGATTCTTTTAGGAGTAACTTTAGGTTGAAAGATTTGAGTTCAAAATCTATAAATTGCATATTTGAGTCCATCTCAACATGCAAGGTTTTTGAGCTAGGTTGAAGGGACCTTAGACATACACAATAGATGTTACAAGTGCAAATTGTTTGTAACGAAAAATTGAACAAAATAAGAAGAAAGTGGAAGGGTGAGATTTATTTAACGAAGTCTAGACCTCCAAATACTATTGGTTTTCAAGGAACCAATAACCTCCACATACAACCAAAGTTAACAAAATATTCTCATTCAATCCCCCGTAGATGACACCCCTGTTCTCAAGAGTGAATTTGTTAACAATTTTTTCCTTCGTTTTGAATTTGTGAGCAAATGTGAAAGAATATTGAACCTTTCTTGTTCTGATCTTCTGCCTCGTTTATTTCCATCGCCAAGTTATTTTGGAAGTAACTTGGCAACTCAATTATTACAGACTTTATTTTCTTTATCCATTCCTCAACCAATTAGAGTAATCATGGGCGGCTATCACCAGTCACCTCCACTTCATGTGACCAAGAGTCAAGGTGGACCTTAGGGATCTTCAAACTACTATGCACGAGGAACATTCTCCTTATTATGATGCATTCCATAATTTTTTACGAGCTGCAAATTCAGATAGGAATCATTATGGCCACACCTAGGTTGGTTTCAAATTCATAACGACAAAGCCCATTACTTTCCCTTCATCAGCGTAAAATCCAGTTACGCAATGTATATAATAACTTCATGTTTCAAAATACCTTTTTGTTCACCACCCAATTTTGGCTTGGCTGTGGAGAATGTTGGTCGTATGCCATGCTGACATGAGTTGACTCGGGTACATCCAGATTTTCTGTATATTCAGTATTTATCTAATTTTTGTTGTATATGCCCCAAGCCTTTTAAATTTTTAACTGTATGTTTGATATCGTGATTGTTGGCTGAAGAATACAATTTTTATCTAACATCTCAAAGAACTCGTTGATCTTGCACCAAGGTTGTTTTTGGATTAGATATAACTTCAACCATCTTTCCAATCGTCTTACTTGTTGCTCAAGTAGCAAGTCCATGCCTAGCTTTGATACCGTATTTTACGAACAATCATAACGTTGAACTGGAATTAGAATTACTTTGCTTGAAACAATTAAACTACTGGGATTGATGAAAAAGGAAGATTTTCACTAAGTTGTATTTTTCCTTGGCATCTCTATTGAGCTACTTCTTCAAACCTGCATCTTGTCTAGATTTGCCATCATCTGAAATCAACTTCCCACCAAACACATATTGGGAATAAAGTCCCTCTGGATGCATATGTTGACATGGGAACTCTGTTTTGTAGTATTTTGCTGAAACTTTAATTAAACCTTTTTACAGACATGCTCCTGTAGCATATCGAGTATAAGGTTATTGCTTTTAATCAGGCGGAGTAAAGTCACTAGTCACAATCTGTCTCTGTTCTTCAATTATTGTGTGTACTAAAACTTGTTTGTTAATGCTTTTGCCACCAAACTTCATTTCCCTTCAATTCAACCCTTCAAAGATGACTTTTACTCTTCTATCTCTATAAATTATTAAAAGAAATTCTCGCCCTTCAGTTTCCAAGGAATTCCCAATGATCCCTCCATATGCTGTTGTACAACATCACTGTGCACAATTATGCAACAATAATTGCTAGTCCAAAGACACCAATAAGTTGGCTCCAATGTAAAGATAACAAAGAATACATAGGTATGCTGGCCTAAAGCAGCCAATGCTGGTAGCTGAAGTAGTCTATGATGCAACAAATTGTGATTTTTGACTCTTGTTTTTCTAGTTTGCAAAAGGACCATAAAAAGAACAACCTAAAAAATCACAATTTGTTGCAAAAGGACAAGAGATGTAAACCCTCCCCAACACCTTCACATCGTAAACAAGAGAAGTGAAGAAAAAGAACAACCAAAAAAATAGGTTTAGTGTAGGTGAGAGCCTTAAAACCTCATATATATTTAAATGGATTTTCCCAGGGAAAAAAATGTAAAATAGAAGAGGAGGAGGTTTGACTGAGAGTTGTTAACTGACAAAAAAATTAGTTATTTTACTTCTCAGGTTGTGCGCTGATACTATGCTCTATTTGATTCCCATTTTTTGAAAAAAATAAATTTTTAAATAGTATTTTGATATCATTTCAACCTCACATTCTTCAATTAAATAATATTACACGCAAATTCAAAACTTTTCCCTATTTTTAATCACACATTTTTCATCAATACGCTATTCAAAAATTCATTCTTATCGAAAGAATAGGACTTAAACAAGGGCTATATTTGATATTCAGATTTCAGACTTCAATGCAGGTGGACAAAAGATGCACATTATTTTGTATCTTGTACCTTTTTTTCCTAAAGACTTTTAGGTGATAGTTCTATTTAGAGGGTATTTGACACCCATTTTTAAGAAAAAAATGAATTTTAGAATAGTAGACTGATGAAGAATGTGTGGATGAAAAGTTTTAGATTTACATGTAATATTATTTTAATAAAGAATGTGTCGTTGAAAAGAAGAGAGAGAGAAAAATGCATTTTGAGAAAAATGGGTATCAAACGGAACCTTAAAAAGATTGGTAAAAAAACTATATTAAAGGTGACAAGATGAAGTTAGGAGAAGATGGACAATGATATGAACCCTTGGTGAGGCAAAAAAGGGAACTTGGTTTAAAAACGTTAGCTGGGCTTATTGGAAATAAACATAAAAAATCTGTTCATCCGTACAATGAAAGATGAGTTACATAAATTTGAAATTAGGGCAGAAGAGTTAGACATCAATATCACCCAACATCCTGTATGCACTAGCAATCTTGAATTATCTTCCATAATGACATGTTCCGTTTCCTAGAAACTATTTTAACATGCATCAGTTTGAAAGTTAAATATACTCATCCAGAGTGTGACAAAGAATGCTCTATGGTCTAATGAGCTGTCAATTTCCATTGTGTTCTATCATCAATTGGTTGCTTATGTTTTATTGTTTGGCCATTTACTTAAAAATGGCTTCTGTTCATTGTAGTTATGAATTTGATATGCTCATGCAGCTGTGGTTCTTGTGGATTTGATTTAAACCTGAGTTCATCGAGTCGGAATACCTCGGCTATTGGTTCCAAATATGGTAAATCTATAAAGAAAGGTATCATTTCTTTTTTCTCCATTGATGAGAGCAGATTCACTCTGATCAAAGACTTCTACTGTGCACCCTACTTTTCTAAGCACTCTTGGGGATTGTTCCGTCAGAGAACAAAACTTTTGTGTCGAAAGTGTGGTAACCTAATTGGAAATGTTGTTGATGAAAATGTTGCTAATTACCGGCTCATAAGAAATGGTTCACATTCGTCCGCAGCCAGTGAAAACTCCAACCAGAGAAACTACAATATCAGAATTCGCTCCTTGCAACCTTCTTCCGCAGAATTTGGCACTCCGCTTAGCTGTTGATATTTGTATGAAGCATTCTTTCCATATATTTGCCCATTTTGTACAATATTCCTTCTCCATCTCAATCAAATATTACCTGTTTATAGAGAAGAACGCTTTGAATGAATCCATGTGTATTTATTGAGTTTTGTGTATGGACAAGATTCATACCATGTTTTGTGGGAGTATCCAAAAAAACTTTCCCTTTTTTTTTTTTTTTTTTTTTTGTGTGTGTGTTTTTTAACGGGGGAACTTGTAGTCGCTACCCTTCAGGTGCGTAATGGATAAACTCTCGGATTGATGTAATAGTCTGCAAACCACGTCAATTAGATAAACATCACTAGGCAAGTCCTATGCGACATGATCGATCGAGAAAATGTTGGTAGGGAAAATTGAACTCGTGATCAAAGATCTCTACGTTCATTTACTCTACCAATTCGGCCACCCCATGAGAGGCTAGACAAACGTATCCTTGTAACACATAAAATAGTGCATAGATGTTGGGCAATTTTTGATAAGCGAAAGTAATAAATCACGTGAGAGCATGTGTTCCCATCCCTTCTTGAGAAACAATTGAATTATTTCATTGCAAACTAGTGCTCATCTATGTAGAGAAATTAAAGTCTTTAACTTTTCTTTTTTAATTTGTTTGGCTAAGTTTGAAAAGTTATTTTTAAAATTTTAAACTAAATAATCTTTCACATTATTTTACGAGTAAAAAGCTAGAAATATGTGAGTTGAGTAACTTATTATAAAACAATAAGGTAAAACTTACTTTAAAAAATGTACCCTTTTTTACTTAAAATGTGAAAACAAATAAATTTTCTAAACACATTTACAATATGATGTTTACTTAAAAAAAAGGAAAAAGTAGTTCGGGACTCTCCAATGTGATTTTGTATCTCCAACTTCAAAAGTGAGATTTTTGGTCCTAAACTTCTGAATTTGTCAATGCAACTTTCGTGTGATTTGGTGATGATCATTAAATTGCTTGCGATTTTAATTTTGAAATTGTCATTTTCTGTCATATCTGGACATAGTTTTACACAATTAAATAGATCGGAACCTAAAAACTTATATGCGATTTTAACATTCACAATAACCATTTTTGTTAAACATAGACCTATTTCTACATGTTTGAATAGAGCCCGCACCCATCAGAGTAGAAACCCTACGAAACCCTCGTCTCTCATTTCAGCCAAAATCCATTCTTCCGATAAAGCAAAATCAAAAAATGATTTTCCGGAAATGCCTTTCTGGCCCTGGCATTCAGGCTTGTCTTTCCAGCCAAGCTTCTCGGATACTTCGACTCGAATCTCATCGACCCTTTCATGCGTTCTCGCAAAACTCCCATGTCTTCTCAGGTTGGTTTTTCTTTTTACTCCATTTTTACGTTATATGTATAAATTTAGCCTATGCATCATTTGGATTCATATATATTTGATTATTTTCGGATGGATTTTTTTTTTTAAGTGAAGATTGTAAATTTCTGTGGGATCTTTCACTATTGTATAATTTCTTTTTTGTTTGCTAATTTTCGAATAATTATTCGTATATTTTTGTTTATTCATTGGCAATGATGTTCAACGCCTCTAAATTAAAATCTAAAGAATGTCGGGCAGTTAGGTCGAAGTTGGAGGGTGGTCATTCTGACTCTAATGTCCCGAGTGACTATGATTGTATAGAAACCCAACAGTGTTACAGTAAGTTAAGAGGCATGAACAAATCATTTAAAATTAGGCCCTTGTTTGAGCCCCATTTTGGGGGAAAAATGTATTTTTGAACAGTGTATTGATGAAAAATGTTCGGTTAAAAAATAAGAAATTTTTTTGGATGTGCGTGTAATATTATTTTATTAAAGAATGTGTAATTGAAATGATATCAAAATACTGTATAAGAATGTATATTTTTCCCAAAGAATGGGCCTCAAACAAGGGCTAGTATTGATAGAGGCAATGGAAGCCCTTTTAAATCATTCACCTGTCAATGTACGCAGCACTATTTGTGCGGGCCACTCTTTTGTCAAGTCCCCAGAGTCTTGATAGGAACCGCCCTGCTTTGCATGTTTCTTATAGCTACACGAGATTGAATATGGCATGCATGTGGTCGATCCATTTATGGAGCCTAGTGCCTTTGGGTCGTGCTGGCTTTTGTGAGTGGATGGATCCGAGCTCTTATATTTGGTCATTGGTGCCTTGTTGCATTGCTTTATTAGAGCTTTGGCCATATTAGGATGGCCTCATGTGTCTCAAACTAGGATCCTTTTGTTTGTCTTCTTCGTTTCAAATTAATATTTTGAAATTAAAGTTGCAAGCCAAATTTTGCGTTGAATTAAATCTAAGCTTTTGCGGTAGCTGTGATATGTTGGTAGCTCCGTATGCTGATAGATGGAGACTTTGATGCTGAGCATTACAGTGTCCAAAGATTGGATATTGTTTGGGAATATGCCACTCACGCCGCCATATCTTAATTGCGAGCCAAGAGCAAAGATGGATTCCCCTTTCCTTTCTATCTTCGGTACTAGAGATGACAAATTGCATATGCCTGAATATAAATTGAAGAATTATCGGGGAGATAAATGAAGAAATTAGTTAACTACTCGATCAAGAACGTAGAAAAAGGGAGGGAGGTGGGTGGTGAGTTATAATCTTCTTACTCTTTGACTGATGTGCTGCTCAAGTAACGATCTTTTGCAATTCAATTTAGTCATGATTCCTTTTCCTCTATGTCATATGTATGCAATTTGTGCAGAAAACTTCAAAGGAAACGCACATCTTGAGTCGTCTATTTTGGGAAATTTGGCTGGGAAGCTTGGTTTGATGAAACTGCAGGAGAGAGTGACTCCATCATACGCTTTGGGTTTCAGGAGCTATATTCATTCTGGACGGCAAACTGAGGATCAGGTAGGAAGAACTTCTAGATCCATGGACTTTGTCCGGGAAATAATTCAAGAAAATGGATATAATACAATGGGCAGACCACCACTTTCTCAGCTCCATCTTGAGCAAAATGCTGATATCGTCCATGTAAAGCTGATGCGAAACAATACCTTTATAACTGTTACGGATTCTAAAGGGAACAAAAAACTGGGTACTTCTGCTGGAAAATTAGCAACAAAAGGAGGTAAAGTCTCTCGATACTCTGCAGAAGCAGCTGCAGAAGACATTGGACGTAAAGTAAGGGAGATGAAATTGAAGTCTGTTGTGATGAAAGTAAATGGATTTACTTATTTCAAGAAAAAGAAGCAAGCCGTTCTAAGCTTTAGAGAGGGCTATACTCATTCACGGGGTGATCTGAATCCAGTTGTGTACATCGAGGACACGACCCGGAAACCACATAATGGTTGCCGTCTCCGAAAAAAACGTCGTGTGTAGTTATTGCAATTTTGCAATCCCGTACATGCGGTGCTGAGGATGGAGATGAGGCTAACAGCTCTATGTTCAGTTAATAAGGTGCTACTTTTTGCGTACCAGAAGAAAATTTGTTGAAATGCTATTACTGCTTATCTATAAAGCCACAGGTGTATTGACTAGTTGATGGGGAAAAAAATGAGGCTGCTTCTATTGGTCTATTTGCACTTCTTTGCATTCCTGTTTGTAATACTTTTCATTTTGATTTATATATGAATTTTACCAATAGATGGTAGAGCATATGTATTCAGTCTTTCAATTACCTGCCAATTTAAAGTTGCGGAATGATCATATCCTAGAATATGAACTTCTATTCAAGTAGTTTTTGGATCCTAAAGCCTAAATTTCTCTCTTCAAACTCATGCAACTGAACTACAATATTGGGAACTTGCTCTTTATTTATATATTTATTTATTTTAAGGCCCATCTTGAAATACATTTTCTGCCGAAAAATGTACCTTTTCTTATTAATAATAGGGATTGAAGGATTTTGCTCCTCCCCAAACGAGGATCAAACTCAGTCCATTAGTTTTGAAAGGCTTAGCTCGTCACTTGAGCTCTACATTGACCTTTAGGCATCTGTACTTGCTCAACAAAAAAATTTATTCATTGGAAGATAGTGTTTAAAGATCAGATAATGAAGGTGCACGCATGCCCTCATTTCGGTCCGTTTGGCATGACTTTTGAAAAGCGAAATCTGCTTTTGAGATTAAAAAGCTACTCTTGATCCCATTCGAATGATTTTCTTAGAGTGCTTTGTCTGGTTAAAAGAGTTTTCAAATTAAGATGATCTAAACTTGCTTTTTCAAGACTCTTCTATAAGAAACAAAATAAAAAATTCTGCCAAAGAAACCCTTGATATAAAATTGTGAGTGGGTGAGGAAGAGAGTTGGAACATGTGTGAATGATTTGGATAACATTATTGTCACCAATGGTTGTCTCATTGCCACCATATTCTGAATGAATAGCCAGGTTCTATAAATCGGAAGTGATGTGATGACATGCGCCACCCAATTGATGTTTGATATTTTGCCGAATATTGCTGGTTAATATGCCTGGCCTTCATAGAGGTTTAGACCTACAATTCTTAGCGTCATCGCCCATACAATCATACAGTTGACATTGAACGCGTGATCGATTGGATGGAGGACGATTGAATTGTTGGTGCCATTTCCGCGGTTGAAATTCATGTTGTTTGATAATGTCCGAATGAAATTTCAAGGAAGACGTGGTGCTCTGATTTTCATTAGATATCAGTCAAACTCCAGACCCGAATCCAAGTATCATCTTACAAAACTAGAGATTATGTATTGGTTTATTCAACTTCACATCTGATCCAGTGATCCCTATGATTAATATTGAATCATTGACTCAATAGAGGCTCTCTAAAGATCTGCGTTCAAATTGGATATCAGTGTAGTGGTTTGGTGGGTATCTAGCAATTTTGTATGGTTGATTCCACCATGGAGGCAAAATACATGAAACTAAGAAAGCAATGTTGCTAAGAAAGCTTCTTTTTTTTTTTTTTTTTTTTGATCGGTAATTGTAAATATTATCAATCAAAATATCATGTACAAGTACACCGGACATACCCGGGCAAAACAAAACCAATGTTGCGTACAATTACTTCGGGCATACTTGGGTGAATCAAAAATAAATAAAGTACAATGAAAGTCAATAACCCAACACTAAGGACTTGAAATGAATCAAGACATCCGAATACAAAGAGAACATTACTTTGTATACGTGTGTCTTGATCCATCTCACAATACAATCCAAATGAAGAGCAATGTCTACAAAAATCTCTGCATTACATCCCTCTACTTTGTAATGTGATAGCAGTGGAGCGGTGGCAAATACAAATCATATGCAATATTCAATAGCATGAAGAATAGGGATGAATATAAATTTTATTGTTAGCTACCATTTTTTCTAAAGTTTTGGTAGGGTATTATCTAATTTATGCTTTAAAAAGGATGGGCTTTTTCAATGCAGTGTGACAAAACGATGTGCCTTACACAACTTCTTTGACTTGAAGTCCCAGAAGGATCCCTTTAACTGCCATAATGAATAGAAAGCAAATAAAGTTGATATCATTTATTATTGATGCCACATTTTGTGGATTCTTGGTGGATGAGAGGGGTCCCTCTTCACTAGCTATTTCCTCATCTCATTTTATCTTCCTCTGCAACTTTTGCACACTAAATAGATTGCAACTGGGGTCGGATAGTCTTGCTTTACGAAGTTAGAAAGATGCTAAATAGGGTTATTCTCGGCATTCATTGATTCGTGCTGCTTCTTATTCATATTATAAAACTTATATAAGTTTATTAGATCAAAAATTAGATGTATTATGAAATTTTCCTTTTTTTTCCCACCAAATTAAAGTTTTTCTTGATATTAATACATGATGGTTCTTGTAAAATTTTTCCCTGTTTAGCTAGAGCCAACAGATGGGACATATTGCCCAAAATTTTTCTTGGTTACTATGCTCCGACATAACTGAGCAATGACACCTATTAGTTCCTCACACAGGCATGCCATTTTGTGCCCTTGGGGATAAAGGGTAATAAGTTTTGTGATTAGAGATTGACATTTGAAAATTGAAAACTATTCCATGTTTTTTTAGGACAAGAAAAGGTTTATTACTACATTTCAACTGAATTCTTTGGACTGAAGCAAGCATTTACTTTTCTTGTAGACAATAAGATTGACAAGGCAAAGCAGAATATATGTCTGGCCCTTATGCCTCTTATATATGTTTCCATTTAGTGGAGAATCTATGCAGAATTACCAAGTTCCAAATTAATCACTTCGAGACAAATATATGAACATACCGTAGCAGCATGTTTGATAAGATGGACAATCCATTATTGCATAATATTAAGAAAGAAAAATAAGTTAAAATCTTATATACTGTACTAAGCAATCATCCATCACAGTATACCGAACGTGCTCTTAGTCCGGTACATCATTTATGGGATGACACTTGTGTTCTACTCTAACACTGCATGAGCTTGTCCCTTATCATGATGTAATCTAAATGTTATCTAAATGTTTTTGAGGAGAATTAATCAAATTATTGCAAGCGGAATTAGTGTGACAACTTTCATGGCACATCTATCCTTTTTTTTTTTTTTTTTTAAGTTAGTTCTGGAATACATGTTCTTTTCCTGTACTAACCCCATCCTCTACCTTTCACTCCATGATTTAACACCAAAAGCATTTTTAAGATTTTATACATAGTAGTGTTGGGCAGGCTTGTCACTTTCTGTCCCAACCCATTATTCTTTGGTCTCCCTCTTTGCAAGGGTCCTTATCCACCCATATCTAACCTTTGCTCCTTCTAACTTTGTACCCACATTGTGTTTACTAGACTTCCTCCATCTGCTCAGTTGGAAGAGGTAGCCAATCCGCCTCCGCCACATTAGCGTTCTTTGTGGCTTCGCTTGCTCCACTACACTCTTGATTTTCTTGGTTGTGCCCTTGTCCCAAGAGGCAACACCATTGTCTTCAAACTTGATTGATATAAAGGAATCTTCAATGGGAGAAAATCTTAAGTACGATAATACAAAGTACTAGATAAGATAGTTAATGAACAAATTTGTAATTTATTTTTCATTTTAAATATTGTCCATTACATTTTAATCCTCCATGCCAAACTGTCCAATCAAAGGAAAGAAAAATGAATACAACTTGACTATTATATATAACAAGATTATAACGATATCTTATACTTTGAATTCTTGGTCCCGTATAAAAATAAATAAAATGATTATGTAAAAGGCTAATCTTTTATGGGTTATGCCATTTGATTCCCAATATATTGCAAAGAATAAAGTTGATTAGGCAATGTGAAACAAGAAACTATGGGGTCCTTAAAAGATTTCTAGTTTGTACGAACCTGCAGAAGTTTAGGAAAGTTAATACCACAGTAATCTTGATTCTTGTATAGATGTAAATTAAGCCCTATTTGATATACTAAAAATCAGATTTTTAGTAAATTATGATAAAAGTTGATGAAATGCATGGTTGAAAGGATGATAAAATTTGTGGATCCGATTAAATGGGTGGTTGAAAGTAAATTTGAGGAAAAATGAAAGCCAAATAAGGGCAAAGTACATGTTGAAGACTTCGAGTATATGCGTAAACTATAATCACACTGCTAAATGCTAAATTCATCAAAATATATATAGGCTATCAACTATATCAAGTCCCAAGCCTGGTAAAGAGGAAAGTTGAGTTCGTTAATACTCGGCATAAAACCTTGTTAAATCTTGTGATATGAAACTCTCAATCCAATACTTCCACTAAAATTCATGCTATGTATTGAAGACTCTAAACTTTCTTTTTATTGTTTCTTCATCAATGTAATCTCCCCTTTATGGTAGTAACATAAACCCACAGAAAAAGGGGGAAAAACACGTACAAGAGGAGAGATTCCCTAGAATTAAATTAAAGGCCTAATTTTCTATTTCTGTTCAAGGGCATTAGCAAAATGAAACACAAAACGAACACACTTTTCTAACCTTCTCCACTGCTGGAGGAACTTAGACAATATTCCTTGGATTTGTGGCGTCTGATTTCTTGTCCATTTAGTGCAAAAATCTTGGGCAAGGCCACGGACTTTTTCTGTTTATGAGTTGCTATTTTTTGTTGAATATGTCCTTGCTTTGAAGCTAAAACTAAAAGCTTTTGATTCAAGCACAATGCACAAACCCCAACAACCAACTCATCGGGATGAAAAAAACACTTACTCATTTCTCTTTGGGTAGATGATAGAGAGTGGGGTGGGGTGGGATTCAAGAAGAACTAGTTCACTAAAGAAAAATAAGGAGTGTGTGTGTGTTTTGAGTAGAGAACATAAGATTTAGTGTGTGAATATGTTTATATAGAGATAGATATGCGATATATATTTATTGTGCAACATAAATAAATAAGGTAATGAATTTAAATGTTTGATAGGAACATTCCACCAATTTATAGTGATGTATTATGATTTTAAGTTGGTGTTTAATAGCTATCTATATTGCCTCATTGCATTCATGGCAATGAGCCCCACGGTTAGGCCGCAATTATGTCTTCCAAAGCAACCCTTAGTTTCGTTCTTTCTTGCCCTTTATTGATGGAAGGTAAAGCGAACATTGGCTGCTTTTGTTAAGTTTAGTAGAACTTGAACGAACCTGTTGACCTCCAAAAATGGCTCCAACAGGCACCCTAGCCTCGCCCCCTCGAAACCCGCGCAAGTAGCACCCCGTCAAGAAGCAAAGGCAGCCGGACGAGAAGAAGGTCCGACGACCGTTTGCACTCCGACGGTCAAGTCAACGGTCGGACGGAGATAGATATATAGAGTGCAATAGTATGGAGATAGGGGTTTGGCTAGAGAATGTAGAACATACCTTAACTTGTGAATTGAATCCATATATATAGAGAAATGATGTGAAATGGGCTAAGGCGGGTTAATGGGCCTAAGTTCGAGCCCAGTATGAGGTGAGCAAAGTGATAGGCACTTCGGCTGGGCTTTTTATGGCCTCGGTGGTGCCTCGGCTAGGCTTCTTAGAGCCTCGGCTTTGAGGCCCAACACTAATGGACCTAGCTCGGGTCCAATAAGGTGGCCCAATATGGAGTGATAATTCATAGGCGTAACAGTAGTCCCCCAAGTCCGAGTCGTGTTATTTATATGCGGGTCGGACTTGAAAGCTAAACTCTCAAATAGGCGAGGTCTTACAGATTGCCTCAGAAAGATGGGTAGCTCCAATAAGCGAGGGTTTACGAATTGCCTCGAAAATATGCATCGATCTCGAATAGGCGAGGACTTACGAATTGCCTCGAGAAATATGAGTCGCTCCAATAAATGAGGACTTACGAACTGCCTCGAAAGATATACTGCGTATACTTTTTCAAAATTTCGACAGCATCTCCTCTGTAATATGGACTAAACCAATCCTG